CTTTTATTTATTTGATATTCTGCCTTCTTCAGGAAGATGCTCTTCTGTTTCTGCCTCTTGACCGAACAGATTTGATGGTGAAGTTTTCAATGCACATTTAAAATTCTCTCTCCATGAATATCCTGCCACGTTCTCTGAAATTCACAGATGAATGAATTTTTACAGGATTCCTGGAAAGCAAACACATCTGACCACGGGGAATATTAGCCTGATAAAGATTTAATTGTAAAATGACAATGAGCAGCAGTTAAAGTTCAGTTAGTATTTCCCTGGCTGTCATTTCTGTGGGCAGACATTATTCTAATAGCAAACCCTCTCATCTTTGTTACCCTTTTCATGATCTTTTCAGTGCCTGAAAAAGGCAAGTACCAATATCTTGTGACACAAACACAAAAGCCTTTTTTTCAGAAGGATTATTTTTCTTTTTTTTTTTTTTTTTTTTTTTTTTTTTTTTTGGTAGTGGGTGATACAGAGTTCATGAACAGCAGCATTGAGTTGTGATACTAAACCAAAATCTATCATTATATTATTGTTATTATTATTATTTCACACCAGGACTGACTAAGCTAAATACATGCTAACTAAGGACCAGTAAATCAAATTTTTTAGCTGGAATACCCCAGATGCTCTGTACAACAGCAAAGCTCAAATTAGTTTCTGATCAAGAACATGTGCAGTCACACTAGTTCTCTGTGCCATATCTCAGCAAATTAAAATCTGCACACAAAGAAGGTCTCTCCTGTACTTTGTTGATCATTCTAACATCAAATGTCATCTAGAGTAGCATAAATAGAGATTCAACTCCTGCTCACCTGGACAATCCCACTAAACTCAGGGCTTTCCTTCCTGCAGCTCCAGTGCTGTGGGAGGTGGTGTTTAATAACTGATGGATAATTACAAAAGGAATTCTCTTTTTCTCTACCAGCAGCTCGTTCGGAGAGGGAATCCTGTCAGCTAGGGGCTGGAGAGGGCTGCTCTAACAGGAGGGAAATGAGAAGCCCTGCTGCCCCTGGCCAGTGCAACTCCCCTGTCTCTGACCCCAAAAAAGTGTCCCTGTGCCTCAGTGACAGGCACTGCTTGTCCCAGAGCTCTGCAGCACAGACCTCCTGAAGGAGGGCAAGATTTATAGGGCAAAACTGAAGGCAGATGATTATTTTTTTGTAAGCTTGGGAGTGCATGGATTAATAAATCCTGGTTGTCCCAGCTCTTAGGAATTCCATTCTGTCTAAATTTCAGTTTGGTTTTCTGCTTTCCCCCCCCAGTAGAGCTGAACCTGGGAACAGCATCACTCAAAGGCTCGTTAGTTTGATGAAGTGGCAAAAGTGACTCCAGCTCCCGTGGGTACTCCCAGCTCCGAAGCATTTACACATCCCAAGGGAATTCTGAAAAACACCACCAAGCCTTTAGGTACTGAATCACAGGCAACTATTTTGAATCTTTAATTTTTTTTTCTATATTCTTTTCTATGAGGATGTCAGAACTAAAATATGGAATATGCTTTTCCCACTTGGTTCCTATTACTTGTAAAGCATTCAAAAGCTTCCAGAATAAAATTACCTCTATGCCCTGCCAGGGAGCAGGCAGAGCTCCATGGAGTATCAAGGGAGTCCCTCTGCTGGTGTTGCTTTCCATTTTTAACCCAAATATAATCATAAAAATGACTAAATGTGAGACTGGAGCTGTACAGCCTTAGATTCAGCATTTATTTGTTATCATGTTCATCCCAGTGGAGTTTTACTGTGCTTTTATATTTATACAAAAAGTGCTGAAATATATTCCATAAATTAAGGAGTTCATTTTCAGGTGTGACATGTTCATCATCAGCACCATCATCATCATCATCATGTGAGTTTGTTTTCAAACTTTGCTCATATGAGAGCAGCCAATTTGCATTTAGGGGGAAAAAAAAATATTGAGAGAGAAATGCAAAGAGATGAGAGATGCAGGAAGCTGAATTCTGCCCTGAAATTACATCCCCTACTTTTCTATCCCAACTGCACATTTTCCATGGGGGGAAAGGCACTGAGGCACATTTAACCCCATAAACGCCTGACATTTCCCCTGGGTGGATTTGGGTCTGCGTCCTGACAGTGAAGAATTAAACAACTCAACAAAAAATACATTTCTACTTTGTTCCAGTACTCGTTTGAGGCTTAATCACAGTTGTCAATGTGCCATTGCAGTGAATAACATTTTCATATTGAGTTATTTTACAGTTCCTGCAGCAGTAAGGAATATCTCAGGGTACTAACTGATTGTTTTGGTTTTATTTATTGTACAGGAAAGCAATGACATTGGAAATATTGTATAAACAGCAAATACACCAAGCAGCAAAATCCCTACCCTGCATTATGAATTGAAGTGACACTATTTTAAAACATTTGAAAAAAAATCATCATAATTATATGTTCTCAACACAGAGACAAATTACCTATTATTTTAACATAATTAATTTGAGCTCATAATTTATGTTGCTGTGTGCGTCATTATCCATCAAAATGCTAAAAAACTGGGGGTTGAATCTTTTAAGTTTTTTCTCCAAATCTGTCATTTGTTTGTCTCCACCTTCAACACCTGAAAGTTTTAATTACAGTTGACATTTCAGTTTGTTGTCCGTCCCCTAGGCCACATTTCCAAGCTCTCTTGTGATGGTCTTGCACCAGGGCCTTCAGGAGAGAGCTCTCCCTCTTCAGAGAGCTCAGGTTTGTAGCCAAGTTTCTGTTCTTTCCCTAGGATACGGATGGGTTTTGAGGCTTTTTTGCATCTTATTGCTATATCCTGATCATGTATTCATTTCTACCGCTGGTTAATGCGTTTTTCTCTTTCAAACACACACCCTCCTGCATGTGAAAAGCAAAGGGAACAATGAAAGGTGTCGTATTTCAAGGGTCGGGTTTGTTCTCCTGGCTGCCTGAACAGGTACCTCTCTTCCCAGCACCTGCACAGGTTTGGGCTGTGTTTTCTCTGAGCTCGGCGTGGGATCCGCTGCTCCTGTGTGGTCTGGGGTGACAGGAGATGGATGGAAGCTCTGCATGAAGGCGAAAGTCCACCCATTCCTTGTTGTCCTGTCTCCAGGAGAGCACTGAGGCCACAGCTGTCCAAACTGTGCAGGCTCTGACGAGCTCTGACTTTTTTATGCCTCTGATTTTCTTCTCCCTTGTCTCTCATGATTGGCATTTGTCGTTTCTGGGCCTTGTTTGCTTGCACTGCACTTGTGGGGAGCCCAGAGCAGTGCAGTATTTTCATGTCAGCCGGGTTAAGGGTGAGGAACATTACACATGCACACTGATTTACGCCTCAGAGGCTGCAAATCGTGTCAAGTGTGATCTCAGCACAGCTCTGCTCCATGACTCAAGCGCTCGGTGCAGTGTTACACTCTCAGACATCAATCCTCAGCCAGGCAAGGGAGAACTCCTCCAGAGCATCCACTAAGTCCTGCGCTGGCAGAGTTATTAGTTATTCATGAGATAATAATGGTGTTTGCAATGTTCGTGCCAAAGCCCGAATCCCATCATCACTGAGGGTGGAAAAGCCCTCCAAGCTGTGTCCCATCCCCACCTTGTCCCCAGCCCAGAGCTCTGAGTGCCACCTCCAGGAATTCCTGGGACACCTCCAGGGATGGGCACTCCAAACCTCCCTGGGCAGCCCCTGCCAAAGCCTGAGCACCCCTTCCAGCAACAAATTCCTCCTGATGTCCACCCTGAGCCTCCCTGGCACAACTTCTTATCCCAGTCTTTCCATAATTCTGTTTTGCAGGGCCATATGTCAGGAGCTCCTGTGGACAGCTGTGGGTCTGAAAGCTGCTGTTCTCTGCAGCAATTTCTTCAATATTTCAAGCTCTGCGTTGTGTTGAAGTCAGTGCCAGTGACTGGCTTTTCTCCTTCTGACCATCTCTGTAAAACAGAGCTCAGAGAGAGGGATGTGACAGTCAGAATTCCCTTGGGACACCAAAGGCCTTGACCCGCAGGCGCCTGCCCAGCCACTGCTGCTTCTGCTGCTTTTAACCACATGGAGCTGCCATGACCTGAAAAACCTTTCCCAGCATAGCCATGACCAAAATTCAGCAACCCCTATGAAAAGCAGTAATTTGGCCCCACCTCATCTTTTCCCTGAAGGAAAAAAGGCTGAGAATTCCCACGTTTGCATCGTGCTGGGAAATTCCCGAGGTGGGAAGCACAGCACAGGGCCCTGAGCAGTGCGGTTTGCTCCTGAGCGAGCCTTTCTGCAGGGCAGCAGGGAGGAGAGATGGAAAGGGCACAGGGAATTCCTCTTTGCCGTGGCACAGCAGCTCAGCCCGTCTGAATCTTCTGTATGTTAATTTAGCACATCTCGTCAGTAGTGTCTGCAAATAATGCAGCAAATAATGCAGCAGGCACACCGGGGGTTCAGGTTAGGGCTGGGCACGGCTCTGGGGTTCAGGTTGGGACTGGGCACGGCTCTGGCACATCTCGTCAGTAGTGTCTGCAAATAATGCAGCAAATAATGCAGCAGGCACACCGGGGGTTCAGGTTAGGGCTGGGCACGGCTCTGGGGTTCAGGCTGGGACCGGGCACGGCTCTGGGGTTCAGGCTGGCAGGCCGAGCACGGCTCTGGGTTCAGGCTGGAGACTGGGAACGGCTCGGGGGCTCAGGTTGGGGCCAAGGATGGCTCTGGGGTTCAGGTTAGGGCTGGGCACGGCTCTGGGGTTCAGGTTGGGACTGGGCACGGCTCTGGGTTCAGGCTGGAGACTGGGAACGGCTCTGGGGTTCAAGTTAGGGCTTGGCACGGCTCTGGGGTTCAGGCTGGCAGGCCGAGCACGGCTCTGGGTTCAGGCAGGGGACTGAGCACAGCTGGGCCGAGCACGGTTCTGGGGCTCAGGCTGAGGCTGGGCACGGCTCGGGGTTCAGCCTGGGGCCGGGCACAGCTCGGGGTTCAGACTGGGGCCGGGCACGGCTCGGGGCTCAGCCTGGGGCCGGGCACAGCTCGGGGTTCACCGCCGCCACTCCGCTGCCTCCCGGCCCTGCCTGCCCGGGCCGCTGACGGCCGGCACCGCCGCAGCCTCGCAGCCGCCACTGAGCATGCTCGGCTCCCGCACATCCGCCGGCGGCCGAGCGGGGGGAGCGGAGCCGGTGCCGGCGGGCTCGGCCCGCGCAGGAGGCGGCGGCGGGGCCGCCATGAACCGCGGCGGGGCGGGGGCGGCGCCCGCCTTCCCCGGCCCCGTGCAGTGTAAGTGCTGCGCCATGCGCGCTCCGGGGCCCGCGCCGCGCCAGCGCGGGGGAGTCGGGGCCTGCCCGGGCCCCGAAACCTGAGTAGCGCATGAAACGGGCGGGAGCGGAGCCCGGGAACCTGGCTGGGGGGCGGGGGGGGGAACCCGGGAATCTGCGTGAGCGCCGCGGGGCCGGGCGGGGGTCCCTGGTCCCGGGTGATGGTCTGTGCATCCCGGACGGTGGTCCGTGGCTCTCGGGCATGGATGCTCCATGGGCAGTGCTCCGTGGATCCTGGGGGATTGCCCACGTGGATTGTCCACGCTCCATGGGCGCTGGGTGGTGATGTCCGTGTGTCCCGGGTACTGATCCGTGGTCACTGCAATGTGTCCGTGTGTCCCGGGTACTGATCCGTGGTCACTGGGTGCTGTCCGTGTGTCCTGGGCAGCGCTCGCTGGGTGCTGTCTGTGTGTCCCGGGCAGTGTTCCGTGGTCACTGGGTGCTGTCCGTGTGTCCTGGGCAGCGCTCGCTGGGTGCTGTCCGTGTGTCCCTGGGCACTGTCCGTGTGTCCCCGGAGGGCTCCGTGCAGCGGTGCCGCAGCCACTGGGCGATTGCCCCCGCCGGACCCCGAGCCCCCTGGAGCCGCATCCCCGCCGCCCGCGGTGCCCGCAGCTCGGGGCTCTTGGGCAGCAGGCTGTCCCTGTGCCACCCGGAGCGGTGTCACCCATCCCCGCCGCCCGGGGGTCCCGCGGTGCCCGCAGCTCGGGGCTCTTGGGCAGCAGGCTGTCCCTGTGCCACCCGGAGCGGTGTCACCCATCCCGGGCCCAGCTGACCGCGCCGTGTCCCCGCAGTCCCCGGCAGCACCACGGTGCTGGTGGAGCTGACGCCCGACATCCACATCTGCGGCATCTGCAAGCAGCAGTTCAACAACCTGGACGCCTTCGTGGGGCACAAGCAGAGCGGCTGCCAGCTCACCAGTGCCACGGCCGGCGCCACCAGCACCGTCCAGTTCGTGTCCGAGGAGACCGTGCCGAGCACACAGGCTCAGAGCACGAGCAGGACCATCGCCTCCGAGACACAAACCATCACAGGTACACAAAGCTTCGCAGGTGCACAGACCTTCACAGGTACCCCCAACCCATCACAGGTACCCCCAACCTTCACAGGCACCCAACCCTGCACAGGTACCCCCCAAACCATCACAGGTACACAAAGCTTCGCAGGTGCACAGACCATCACAGGTACCCCCAAACTTTCACAGGTACCCCCAAACGTTCACAGGTACCCAAACCTGCACAGGTATCCCCAGACCATCGCAGGTACCCCCAACCTTCACAGGCACCCAACCCTGCACAGGTACCCCCAAACCATCACAGGTACCTCCAGGCCATCACAGGGGCACAAACCTTCACAGGCACCCAAACCATCACAGGCACCTCCATGTCACCTGCCAGGTGCCAGCCCTCTGCCCCTGTGTCCCCATCATCCAGCTGAAATAACAGTTTTCACATCAGTTGTCACGTAACCAAGGAAATGAAATAGTTCTGTGCTGCCTTCTTGGGTTTATTCTAACAATAGTTGCTTAATTTGCTAATTGAGGTACAAGTTCTCTCAGAGAATTGCTCAAGTCTATTGTGTTGTGGAACTAGCTTGTGCCTATTAATTAAAAATGTCGATACTTATGAAAAATACTGAAATTACTATGCATTTTATTTTTTTAAGAGTGCTCTGGATGGAAAACACAGAATAGCTGTCAGGCACCCATCCAGACCTTTTTATGTGAGAACACTGCATTCCCTAACATTGCTCCCACAACTAATTGGCAGGAAAAATATTACTCAAAATTTCTGCCTATGTGAAGACTTGAGTGAGGTCCTGATCCTGGAGACATTTAAATAAAATTAGGATCTTGTTCCGTGTGTGAAGGTTTGCCCTTCTATATATAGTTTTGTTTTATTTTGGTGTGGGACCTTGCTAAACACCAAATTATTTGACTCTAATTTGGATAGACAGGTTAAGGCAGGGAATCTGGAAGAGCAGTGAAACAAACTGAATTCAGGGCCAACTTCCAGGAATTTTTGTATTATAATCCCTCAATTCAGTGTGGGTTTTGGGTGAGTCATTTTTCTGCTTCATATTTATTCATCTTTAAAATGAGGACAGTTCTATCCATTTGCCCTTTTGGGCTATAGTGTTGGTTAATTGATTTAAAAGCTGCTACTTTGGCTGAGATATTTTCACCTGTTATTCTTGTGAGTAACAGCTAAAAACAGTAGAGTTGAAAGAGGCTGAACTTTTTTAACAATTACAAAAATAATTTGTGTGATGCCTTTTGAAAACATTTGCCATATAAATAATGATTTTTTTTTCTCATTTGGATTATAACACAGAGTTGAAAAACAAATATATCTTTATTTGGTATTTGGAAGAGAAAAACCTTTTTCCTTTCCTCCTCCCCCAGGTAAAGAGCAACTGAGGAATAGGAATGTTGCTGGGAAAAAAACCCGAATAGAGAATTCATTAAACTAGACAATTATTAGATTTTTTTTTATCTGATTAGAGAAGTTAACGAAGTTTTTTGTGTGTTTAGTTTCTGCCCCAGAGTTTGTTTTTGAGCATGGCTACCAAACCTACCTGCCCAGCGAGAGCACGGAGCCTCCAGCTGCTGCTGTCATCTCCACACCCCCAAAAGCAAGGTCCAAGAAACCCTCCTCCTCAGTGCCCCTGAAGAAACTCAGCTGCCTGTACCCAGGTGAGATGGGGATCGTCCCCATTTTAATGTGGAGAGCTTTCCTCTGGTGGCACACAGGAGATTTGATAGCTGCAGCAGTTCTGGAGTGAGCTGCCTCTAAGGGGAAGCTTTAGAAGTTCACAGGTGGGCTGGTCACTCTTTTAAGCAGTTGTGAGTAAACAAGATGAGGAATTAACTTTCTGTTAACAGTGAATTTTAAATAAGTGTTGATTTGTTGAAAATAAACATGTCCAGAATATAGTAATGTATTTTTATTATTTTGCTAGATTTTCCTTGAATTTAATGATCTTTATCCTCCTGTTTTCAGGGTGCCAGTTCAAGACTTCCTATGGTATGAAGGATCTGGAACGTCATCGGCGAACGCACACAGGTTTGTGTTCCTATCTTTTCTTTTGGGTTGGTTTCCTCCTTTCAGCTTTTTCACAAAAGCCATTTTCCTATGAAGTAATGTCTCTATAAACAGGATGTAGACATGTCTGTACTTTCTAGCATTGTCCTGGCCTGTGCCTGAGGAACTGTCTGATGGGGACATACCCTGTCAGGCACAGCCAAACACTGGAGGTTGGTTTGAGGCACAGTTTAACTTCTTGAGTGCACACCACGTGTTTATCAGGGTGCAACGTGGTGGGACTGCACACACCTGCTTTGCTCTTTAAATTAAAGCAGTTCCATGATTTTAGCTCCCAATTTTGGAGTTGCTAAAGGGAGAAGGCTCCGAAGGCTCTGCTGTTTGTCACAGCTACGCCTGCAGCTCCTACAAACGAGTCCCTTTCCTGGTCAGTCTGTGCTTTCTGCTTTACCACACGCCCTCCCCTTGCCCAGGGCTGAGCGTGAGTGCTGCTGTTGCAGGAGACAAGCCCCACAAGTGCGAGGTGTGCAGCAAGTGCTTCAGCCGCAAGGACAAGCTGAAGATGCACATGCGCTCGCACACGGGCGTGAAGCCCTACAAGTGCAAGCACTGCGAGTACGCGGCGGCCGACAGCAGCAGCCTCAACAAGCACCAGCGCATCCACTCCAACGAGCGCCCCTTCAAGTGCCAGATCTGCCCCTACGCCAGCCGCAACTCCAGCCAGCTCACCGTGCACCTGCGCTCGCACACAGGTGGGCTTGTGCTCTCTACGGGTCACAGCTGTGATTTTAACTCATGTATAGGCGTCCAGATCCCCAAAAGGGATGATCTGAGTTCCCAATGAGTGCCCCTTCAAGTGCCAGATCTGCCCCCAAACTCCAGCCAGCTCCCTGTGCACCTGCGCTCGCACACAGGTGGGCTTGTGCTCTCTACGGGTCACAGGGTCACAGAGCTGATTTTAAGTCATGTGTAGGTGTCCAGATCCCCAAAAGCAATAATTTGAGTTCCCACTGCGCGCCCCTTCAAGTGCCAGATCTGCCCCCAAACTCCAGCCAGCTCCCCGTGCACCCATGCTCACAGACAGGTGGGGTTGTGCCCTTCTGACCTGGGCAGGTGAGCCCCGAGTGAGCACCTGGGAATGCTCATGGCTCTCTGGTATTTCCTGCAGAATTAGATTTCTGTGCCATTCAATATTCCAGTAGCTGGGAAGGGATTTTAGACTAACCTTTCTTTTGGCATTTCAGTCTGTTGCATCTCAAGCGATTGAATTATGCTAAAAGTCAAGCTTTAGTTTTGTTGCTTCTTCTATTTTTCCGAAATTTATCTTTTTTTCAAAGCTGTCATGCACACACCCAATTTTAGGAGAAAAGTAAGACTGGTATGTAGAATATATTGCTTACTGGAATTAAATTAATAATCCTCTAGAAGGTGAGTGTAATCCCCATTGCTCAGAGCGAGATCATCTTCACTTGTTGAAATAGTCACTAAACATCAGCTTCCTGTAAATTCGAGTGAAACTACTCTTAGAATTAATAATCTGTGGTCTGACACAAGTTTTTATCTAAATCCTGGCAGTGTCAGTTAGGGATGGGCAGAAACATAAAGAAATACAGAGTAGACCACTCTTTAAACAAACAGAACCAGCATTTGCTATATTCTTTTTCATATATATTGTGCTACCCTATATATGAAAATTAAGTAAATTGAAATATAAGCTGTGCCTTCATCAGCAAAGCAGATAAAAATTCAGTAGCTGAGTGTGCAGCTGAGGCTGTAAAATAAACTAGATGAACAAACAGTGCATCTTCATTAATAAAGTCTGTTTAATACAGATAGTACACCATGTATCTCAATTATTAAACAGATACATGGATTAGCACAGTAGGCCACAACTCGATTTGAAAAATATGCAGCTAAACCTATGACATATGTAGCTGGGTAAGCAAATTATGCAAAATTATACAGCTCTCACAAACTCTATGAAATATTAACTTCTAAAATAAATCAGCCATTTGCAATTTGATTATTAAAGAGGATAAATACTTCTTGAACTAAGTACACTTTCTTTTTCCTTCTTTCACCAAGAGTGTCTTAGAACATAACAACACAATTCTTCCACTTGTTCAAAATAATGCCTACCTAAAGACTTCATCCTCAGGTGAAAAATACAGAGAAGTGTATTTTTAGATTTAAGAAGGAAAAGGGAGTAGTTATTTAGTTAGGTTGCTAAGTTTGCTTTGGATTTTTTTTTAATGGCTTTAGAACAGCCTCACTGGAATTGATTAGGGATTAGCAGAGCTCCACCTTAACATGGTCATGGATATTGTGACACCAGCCTGCAGATGCAGAAAATGCAAAACAACGGGTTGAGATCTGAGCGTGTCAGAGCAGGTGAGGATCCTGTGTCACTAAATTTCTCCTGACACTGAGAACACGTTGGGCGTTCAGGACGTGGCAGCTGTAGGGGCTTCATCCCAGCAGTGGCTCCCGGTGTCCCCTGCGTAACCCGTGCCTTCCTTTGGCAGGAGATGCCCCTTTCCAGTGCCAGGTGTGCCCCGCCAAGTTCAAGATCAACTCGGACCTGAAGCGGCACCTGCGGGTGCACTCGGGGGAGAAGCCCTACAAGTGCGAGTTCTGCGAGGTGCGCTGCGCCATGAAGGGCAACCTGAAATCCCACGTGCGCATCAAGCACAGCATGGAGAACACCCTCAAGTGCCCCGAGTGCGACTTCCAGTGCGGCAACAAGACCAGCCTGAGGCACCACATCCGCAGCCACCAGCCCGAGCAGCCCGTCAAGTGCTCCGAGTGCAGCTACTCGTGCTCCAGCAAGGCGGCCCTCAAGGTGCACGAGCGCATCCACGGCAAGGAGCGCCCCTTCAAGTGTGACTTCTGCAGCTTCGACACCAAGCAGCGCAGCAACCTCACCACCCACGTCCGCAAGGCCCACGGCGACAAGGCCAAGGGCAGGAAGCACTCGCTGGACAAGAAGGAAGGAGAGAGGCCGAAGCAGGGCGGCTCCAGGCAGGTTGCCAAGCTGGACGCCAAGAAGGCCTTTAAGTGTGACCTGTGTGACGCGTCCTTCGTGCGGGAGGATTCTCTGCGCAGCCACAAGAAGCAGCACAGCCTGTACAACGGCTCCAAGGGCAGCGAGCTGGCCGTGCTGCAGCTCCAGATGGATCCCAGCCGCCAGCCCAGCGCCCCCATCACCGTCAGTCACCTCCAGGTGCCGCTTCAGGCCGCTCAGGTGGCCCCGTACAACGAGGGCAGAGTCAAGATCATCGTGGGCCACCAGGTGCCTCAGGCCAACAGCATCGTGCAGGCCGCCTCTGTGAACGTGGTGCCCCCGGGGCTGCTGGGCACGGGGCAGGAGGAGGTGCTGGGCAGCGGCCGCCTGCAGCTGCTGGGCCAGGTCAGCGTGCTGGCCCCGGCCCCGGCCGCGGGGGACGCGGGGCCGGTGGCGGAGCCGGCCGTGCTGCTGACCACCCAGGAGCAGGGCGAGGGCAGCGCCCTGCACCAGGCCCTGCTCCCCGGGGCTGCCCCCGGGCACGAGCCCCCCGCCAGCCAGGCCTTCATCGCCAGCTCCGGCATCAGCTGCTCCGACCTGGAGGGGCTCAACGCCCTCATCCAGGAGGGGGCCACGGAGGTGACCGTGGTCAGCGACAGCGGGCAGAGCATCACCGTGTCCACGGCTGCTCCTCCTCCCCCCATCTTCTCGTCCTCCTCCCACACTGAGGGCCCCAAGCAGAGCTATTCCATCATCCAGAGCGGGGCTCACACGGCGCTGCTGTGTCCCGCAGACTCCATCCCCGATTAGGGGCTGCTGTGGACACAGGGGCTGCTCTGGGCACAGGGGCTGCTCAGGACACAGGGGCTGCTCTGGGCACAGGGGCTGCTCTGGGCACAGGGGCTGCTCAGGACAGAGGGGCTGCTCTGGGCACAGGGGCTGCTCAGGACACAGGAGCTGCTCTGGGCACAGGGGCTGCTCTGGACACAGGGGCTGCTCTGGGCACAGGGGCTGCTCTGGGCACAGGGGCTGCTCTGGACACACGGGCTGCTCTGGGCACTGCTCTCTCCTGGAGCACTGCTGAGCCTGCCAGGAACGCACAGCACACAACTGAACTCAGGATTTGTCCTCCAGAGCCAAATACCTTCCACACTGTGTTTGTCTGTACACTGAAGCATCCTGTGTGTGGGGAGGAGGAGGTGTTTGTATTTCTGTGCCTCTGCTGCAGTCAGAGGCCCTGCTCCTTGGAAAGCAGCTGTTGCCAGTGTCCCCAAGCAGTGACACCCCCAGTCTGGCTCCTGCCCTGTGCTGCCTGAAGAGGAGATCCTCCCCTTGTGCTGAATTACCTCCACAGCAGCCTTGTTTGATGCACACATGAAAAGACAATGACCTGAGAAGTTTGCTGGACTGAGGTCTCTCAGTTGTGTGCTCTGTGTGCATTCCCTGCTCTGGCTGGGCTCTGGGGAGCCCCACTGCTGGCTCTGCTCCAGCCCAGGTGAAGTGTGAGGGGCTGCTCCCTAGTATCTGTACAAATCAGTAGCACCTGGTGCTTGAAATGCTCCTGCAGAGAGCAGGTGATTGTTTTCAGAAAGTAAAAGAATGTTGTCCCTCTCTCAGTAGTAACTAACTCTGTTAGCATCAACACAAATCGTCTCCGGCATGGTGATGGCTGTCAGAGGTGCCTGTGAGTTAAAGAGCAAAACAACTGGAAATATATTTTTTACAAACACTACTTAACCTTCTGTTTTTATTTTGATGCTGCCTGTTGGGAGTTGCATGGGTGGTAAAGGTGTATTACACTTTGGGTCTCGTTTTCACGTTAAAGGAAAATATTGAATTTCATTTAATTTCTTTTTAAATCTTCTAATCCAAGGTTTTTTCACTCCAGCAGAAATTCAGGTTGGATCACAAGGAGATTTAATTATTATTATAATTTATTATTATAATTATTATATATTTATATATCATTTTATTAAATTATTAACTATAATTTATTTATTAATTTATGGATATAATTAAATTAATCCATTTATGAAGTAAATATTCTTACTAAATAATTAATTATTTCTTATTTATTTATTTATCGAATTGATTATGGACATTTCTCTGATGAAAGAATTCCAGGCTGTATTTTGAACTATGCAATTGTCCGTGCAAAGGTACCACGGATGAAAGCAGCGAGTTTGCCCATCCCCGGCGGTGGAGGTGAGCTCTGCAGGCAGGCTTTCCTCAGCTCCCAGTGTTCCGAGTCATCCATAGGTGGTGCCAGAGGCCCAGGGAAGCCCTGGAGTGTGCTCTGGCTCCTGGATGATATTTCCTCTTTAACACTTCTCTACAAAAACATTTCCAAATTCAGCTTTTTAAGACGTCACCAAAAGCTCAGCTGTAAAAATCTCACTTAAGCAGATAAAAAGAAATGCCCAAAGTTTTCTGCAAGAAGCAGATCTGTGTCCAAAACTTACCTCCCAACTGCTGTTAAATTGATAATATTTTGCTCCCTGGTAACGAATGTCACCCTGTTCATTGTCCCCAGCTGCAGGACTGGCACTACAGGAATGCTAAACCCCAGGGATTTTGGAAAGCTGTGGTTTGTGCACTTCAGCTGTGCTTGGCCCTGGCCAGGAGCCTCCCCTGCAGTCCAGAGTCACCCTGAAGGTGGCACAGCTCTGTTATCTGCACTGCAGCTGCTCAGAAAGCGCAGAGAACCTGCCCAAGGAGGAAACCAGTAGGTTTGTCATATTGTAGAGACTCACCTTGGTGCTGGGCCTCAGAGATAAACAGGAAAGATAAGGAAATGGTGTGAGTGAATAGGCAGAGCTTAGTGCTGCTGCTCCAGCCTGCTTTGCCTGATTGCATCATGTGAACAAGCTAGAGACTTCTTCATCCAGCCTGACAAAAACCAGCTGAGAACCGAGGCTGACACGGGGGCAATTTCTTTTCAATTTTCTCTCCAATATTCTGGCTTGATTTCTGTGTATGACAGTAATGGTCTGTGTGTTTTGGAGCTGGCAGGAGCAGATTGTTTTAATCTCTGATGTTCACTTAATACATTCTTCATGTTATCAGCAGAACCGTCCCAGGAGGGAGCCTGGTAATTCAGAACAAGTGTCTCCTGTAGAGCTCTCCTGCTCCTGAGCACATGGTAAATGAATCCTATCCCTCCCTCCCAGAGTTCTGCCATGGCCTCAGAGCTCTGGAGCAGGCTGGCTCTCTCCAGGACCAAATATTGGGATGGAGTTTTGTTCCTGCTGCCTGGAGATCCCCAAGTTCCCCTGGTAAGTGCTGGGCCTAGGAGCAGAGCTCAGTGTTCCAGTGCTGCTCACCCAGCACAGCCCTGGCTCCAGAGGGAAGGGAAAATCTGGATATCCCACCCAGCACAGCCCTGGCCCCAGAGGGAAGTGTAAATTTGGATATCCCACCCAGCACAGCCCTGGCTCTTAGAGGGAAGGGAGAATCTGGATATCCCACCCAGCACAGCCCTGGCTGCAGAGGGAAGTGTAAATCTGGATATCCCACCCAGCACAGCCCTGGCCCCAGAGGGAAGTGTAAATTTGGATATCCCACCCAGCACAGCCCTGGCAGGCTCTGCTCTCTGCACAGGTTTTCCCCAGGTTGCCCGTGGGCTCCCAGGTGTGAGTTTATGGTGTGTCACAGCCTCCCTCCTCTCTGGGGATGAACTTCTGCCTGCTCAGAGATCTGAGGTTAAACTGGGCAGGCAGAGGTGTAAAGCCTGTGTGCATTTCCAATAAACCAACCCCAGCTCTTGGGCCTTCCCAGCCCTCTGGGGTTTGTTGCTGTTCCTGACGCTGCTTTTTAAAGCCAGACCCGGTTCCACAGGAGCTGATCCTCCAGCAGACCTGCTGAAATGTGCTTTTCTCCTGTGCTTTTGTGAGGAAGGAATACACAACAGGAAAAAAAAAGCTGAAGAAAAATGTGTTTGGACACATTTAACTGTGTTTTGGGGAGGCTGGTTCTGACAGGCCCAGCTCAGTGTTCCCAGTGGGGTTTGAACAGTACCGGATTGAACCTTATCCCTGGTGCTGTATCTTTTAGGTGGTTTTGATAAAAACTTTAACTGTTATTTGCATCAAAATGGGAGATTCCTGCTCCAAACCAGCCTCAGGTGTCCCATGCACAGGAGGATTCCTGGATATGCCCAGGAAGCACTCCTGGGGGAGTGGATGGGACCAAGTCCCCACCTCAGATGACGCCTAAAAGCAGCAGAACTTGGCCCAAAGCTGGCTCTGCTGGGAACTGGGGGAAAACCAAACTTCTATTGAATACATGTGGGGCTTGCAATTGAAAAATTGTAATCTAAATATTTCCCAGTCATTTTGGGAATGAGCTCTTTATTACTGCTGTTATCTGACTGCACTGGAAAGCACCTTCTGTTGTGGGCTTTAAAACGTCAGAGACATGCCTAGACATTTTCCTCTACAACACAAAGAACAGGGGAAAGGCTTGGGGTTTTTTCTTTTTAATTTAGATACCTTTTTTATTCTGTATTCCTGATTCTTTATTTATTTGTGTTTGAAGTCAAAATATAGTCAGTCATCCTTTTTGCACTGTGCTGCTCTGCTGACTGCAAAAATATTTCCTGTGTTCTCAATGGCAAGACCTCTATCCTATAATTTCAGGAATATTGACTGGCTACTCTAATGGCTTTTTACATCTCCAATTGGAAAATCTTTAGCCTTGTTATTTAAATTTTAAGAAGAGAAACCAATATTGTTACAAGAAACTGATGTCTCCTGTCACTTCCCCAATGACCTTTCATGAGGTGATAAAGGTTTCTATAGTGACCTGAGGAAATGATGTCTCAGGTATCAGCGTGAATTAAAAGTCTGTGGCAGGAAAAGCTTTCTTTTCTCTGTCTCTCAGGTATCCAGTTCTGCCTTTGTCTTTATTCCAGTGGCTGGACATGGAGAAGGACTCATAAAACATCCAGTATTTGGTTACATGGCTGTCTTTAGAGGCTTCACAATGTTGTAGGGAAGGGAAAAACGTCCATGGCAAAGCAGAGGTGGATTTTTTACAAGCTGTGTCCACTGAATTCTGTAACCTGTGGGATCAGCCAATTTATTCCACCAGCCTCAGGAGCTGTGTTTGCCTCTCTAAAACCAGGAATTCTCATTGACTGCAGATTCAGCTTGACAGAGGTGTTTTAAGTTCCTCGATTCAGACCTGTGTAAACTTACCTTTAATTCTGAAAGTGAAAGCTCTTGGTTAGTGAGAGTGGCTGCATTTTGTAGGTAAAAGTTGAAAGTGATCTGGGAAATAATTAACTGAGTGCCTGCAGAGTGTTTTGAGGTATTTTTATTTGGTTGTTGTGTTTTGGTTTGGTTTTATTTTAAAGACACAAGGATGCATTTCTGCCTTCTCGTTCTGCTGGGTGGAACAACCTGTTCTCAGTGTCTTCCACTTAACAAACCTGGTGAGAGACACCTAAAAAAGCCTTGGAGAAACCTCCAACGTTTTCAGCTTCAGTTTCCCATCCATGTCCTCCAAAGTGAAGGAAAGCTGATAAATCTTTGTGCTGTCTGTGGTGGCAGGGTTTGAAATCAAGGCTGGCCCTGGTGCTCTGAGCTGTCAGACAATTTTCCATCATTTTGCTCCCCAAGCCCTGGGCCAGCAGAGCAGAGCAAGGCCAGCCCTGAGCCCTCACCTCCTCTGCCTGCTGGTTGTATTTGCACTTTCTAGATGTCAGACTGAAAGAAAAAATCCTCCCCACACCTTTTCCTAGCACAGCTCACAGCTTCCTCCTCCCAAAGCGCGGCTGCACTTCCTGCCATAATTAATTATTGGCCATAATTCATGATTCTGTCAGCAATATCAGTGTATCAGACATCATTGCAGCAGTGTTTGCACTGGAGCTGTGCTACTGGAGAAGGATATGGTGAGCATGGGAATAACTTGGA